TTACAGTGTCCTTTCTCCCCGCAGTCAGGGTGGCATAAAAGTTCGCTGCATTGGCTGCCGCACAACGGACGCGCACTCCGCCCCTCCGAATCGCACCTGGAGCTGCCGGTGTCCAGTGCGTGCAGTTAGGGGCCTCCGAGCCTTCTGGCACAGTAACTGCCCAGCCTCCGAAACCCTCAAGAGTTTGCAGTGGTTTCTAAGCTCTGCCGAAAGAGGTCAAGTTCTGGGGACACACTCAGAGGGTCCTAGTCTCCCAGCCTCATCGAAGCTCGGACTGCCAGAGCTGTCTATCGGTAGGTACGCGAAGGGCATGGCAGGCTGACCGGGCTGGGAGGGAAGAGGATAGAGACTGGACTGAAGGGCTCCCAAGCCATCCCTCCCACTCCAGGCGCTTGGCACCCCTCAGCTGGGACACTGAATGGGATGCCGAGGAGCCCTGCGGCAATGACCAAAGAAAGAAATCTCGCCTTAACTAGCACAGAAGCCCGAGGGGGTCTCCACAGCTCCCGTTTCTGCAGCGCAAAAAGCGTTTCTGGAGAAGACGAGGCAGAGGATCAGCCGTTGCCCTGACATTTATCCTATGCTCCTGTTGCCGCCAGGGATTTGAGAAGAATACTCTGTTATTCGGGCTGCTAAGTAGTAAAAAACCGCAAAGCCACATGGCACATGTTATTTAGGATCTTTGTCATTCATCCTTCCCACTCCTTTTCGGGAGGTGAGCGTCTGCCTAAGCTCGCAATGAGTGAAAGGGACTACAGCCAGTCTTTGATCCTTGCAACAGCGCAGCAGCTGGGCTTCCGGTGGCTTTTTAGTCTTCTACGATTTAGGGCTTTTCTTTGTCCAAATGCAGTAACAACGCAGGTCTGTCCGACGATCGTAAGTCACCGCCGTCTCATTTGTTCCCTGCATTCTCCCGGCCCAGCCCTGCCCCCACGCCTCCTGTCCGCGCTCTTCCCCGCTCAATTTCTCCGCTCAACTCCATTAACCTCTCCTAGTGGGTCTGCCAGAACCGCCGCGCGGGACGCAAAGACGCC